CTTTGCAATTGAATGGAACGTTTGTAAGAATGTGGTATATATTATAAAATAATATATATATATATATATATATATATATATATATATATATTGTATGATTCTGAATTTGATGTTGACATATGTATTAACAAAGTCTAATAATCGGGCATAACATCAATAAAAAACATTTCTTTCAAAAATTTATTTTAAATCCATACGCTTCGGCTATAATCCTAGCCTTCATTTAGTGGAAACTAAAAATAAAATTAAAACTAAAACAATTGAATTGGAGTGAAAAGAAAAAATAAAATAGTAAATAGTACTTACAATTAGTTAATCTTAGTATTAAATTGGAAACTTTTAATAATCCATGGTACCAAGATATGGTAATGCACTATCGAACGACTTAGTTATCTCGTCTATCAAATTAATTGTCTAGATTGTAATTTAATTTACATAGGAGAAACAAGCCAGAACTTAATGAAACGCTTACAACAACATAAAAATAATTCAAAAAATCCGAAGCAATTCAAAACTATGATAGCAGAGTATATTAATACTTTAAAACACAATATGGACTTTTCTAACCCGACTGTACTACAATTCGAACAAAATTTCTTCAAACGAAGAATTGTAGAAGGATCTTATTTAACTATTTGCAGCAATAAAACAATAAATAAGCGGAATGAACTTAACACGCTGTGCGACACAAATCTCTTTTATTTAGATAGTATTTCCAAATTTCTCACAAAACAATAAAAACGACGCGCAAAGTATTCGCAATTCATTCCACACATGTGTAGAATCTTGGTAAAAAATATTTTTCAAAATGTCCTTTCTCCATTATATCTTCAAACAGTCTACGAACAACACACCATCCAATTGTGATTTTTTAAATTAGTATTTTGTGAAAATATTGTGTACATATTTATAAGTTTTTAATACATAGTGTAGTGCATTACCATATCTTCCAAAATTGGAAAAAAGGTTTTTTTAGTGAAAGAAATGATTTCGAAACGTGTATATATTTTTTCCAAGTTGCGGAATTGAATTAGTATTGGGATAAATTATAAACACCTCGATCGTATACAGTGTCTCTGTTTCTGAACCGAGTCTCAATTATATCTTCGCGATCGGTTGTTAAGGCTCAATTATAGATTTGAAGCGTGTAAAAATTTCAATTAGATCATATCCAAATATTAAATAAGTTTACGGAGATTCTAACTAAATTATCCTATTTCAGAATGGCGAGTGCGTTCGTGTCAATTCGAATCCGCCGCCAACCTTACGCGTTGCGACGCCTGTATCGGCGTTGAGTTGCGGCCCATCCGTTCCGGCCCTGGCCGGAAGGACGAAGACGGAAAACAAACTGGAGAATGATCAGGCCCCAAAGGCCTCCCCGACGCAACAACCGCCCTATCAACGCCTTATTCAAGCTTTGCACAATGATCCACGAGCAGTGCAGGAGGTAAAAAATTGATTTAATAACATTACAATTAAAAGGATCATAAATTATAATTCTTACATTATTCTGTTTATCAAATATAAAGGTCGCATTGGGTCGCCGTGTAGGATTGTACAGATATTGTGGTGATATCGGACGAGGAAATTTTTCACGAGTGAAATTAGCTATCCACCAGCTTACAAGAGGTAAAGAATATATTATCAAACAATATGAATGTTATATTTATTTACCTACTTGTGCACTACATTTTCAGATAAAGTAGCTATAAAAGTCGTAGATCGAGGACGATTAGATTCCAAAGCATCGCGAATGCTCTCTAGAGAAGTTAGTACTTTAGAAAGTGTTCATCATCCACATATACTTAGGTAAGGGAATATTGATAGTAATGAACGAAATCAAATTTCAATCTACCTTACCTAATAGGTAAATACAATAATATTTACTTGTCTACGGACGACAACAACTTGTATTAAATCATCAATATTGGCATCCATCAAATAATATATTTTTTAATGAAAAAAAATGTTTGAAAAAGAATTTCGTACTTTACGAGTCTCGTTTTGACTTATCTTTACTTAAAAAATTCAAGTAAAACATATAAATTGAGAAGAACTTTTTAATATACAAACAAATTTATAAAACAAATTTAATTTTAATAATTAAAGTAAATAGAAAAAGACTTGCAAAATTACGATTGTGTGAACGTAATACTTTAATGTTTGAATACAAGTCATTTGAATAGATGCCCAAATAGAAAATATTTTGTTATATATCTTCCACCAACTGAAGAACTTTATGTATTATACATATCACAATACTTAATAATTCTTATTAATTGCAGGCTTTTTGAAGTAATAGAAACATTGGGTCGTGTTCATCTAGTTACTGAATGGGTAGCTGGAGGTGAATTGTACGATAAGATTAGTACATGCGGGGCTCTCAAAGAAAAGCAAGCAGCAAACTTATTTAAACAAATTGTTTTAGCTGTTAAACATATGGTAAGATAGATGTGCTTTTTATAATTTCACATCATAATTATACATTTTATGAATTAATTAAAAATATTTCAGCATGGACTTGGTTTTGTACATAGAGATATAAAAGCTGAAAATGTATTGTTACTGTCTGAAACACGGATTAAATTAGCCGACTTCGGATTCAGTACACACCTCATAAATGGTATAATATTGAATTGTTCCAGATAATTTATCTTTATTTTATTATTCTTTTTATATTTGTTATAAATTTGTGTCATTATTTAGGACCCATGCAACAACTGGATACGTTTTGCGGATCACCACCATATGCGGCCCCCGAACTTTTTATCGATGCACACTACATAGGCGGGTATGTATATTATTTACCTTTTTGTATATATATATACACACACACACACATATATATATATATATATATATATATATATATATATATACATGGTTTTTGAAAGAGCTTTATTACTTCTTACGTTTTCGTTATAGTAATGTAATGTAACCATTAAATAATTTCACTTTTCTTTATTGTAGACCAGTGGATGTATGGGCTTTGGGAGTTCTTTTATATTTCATGGTTGCCGGCTATATGCCGTTCAGGGCGCCTACTGTTCCTGGTCTGAGAGCAAGCGTGCTGAATGGCAATTATACTATGCCAACTCATCTTACCTTTTTATGTTCTCGATTGATAGGTGAGTTTGAGTAACTATTATTTTACTTATTAATATATTTTAAGCGAAAAATGCGTACCCGGATGTTAGATGCGTTCATATAATATGCTTTTGTATATTTTGTTCATGAAAATCGTGATACGGATATTCATCGTTTCATCAAAGCTTAATTCGGTTTAATTTATATCGGCAAGATAAATTATTTTCTTTCGAGGAATGATTTTGTTGATACTTATTGCTAATTTTTAATTGCAGAACGCATCTTAATTCATCAGCCGGACCGACGTCCGTCGTTAAATGATATTTTGACTAGCGATTGGTTTTCCAGTAGTGCAGCCGCACCCGATAAAATAGACGATGTGCCAAAACCAAAAAGTACTTTTCTCTCTATATTTAGTGGCAACAAGCAAAAAGATACGTCTGAAAACAAAAGTGCTAATATATACGTTAAAAATAACACTAAAAACAGAAATGGACACAGAATGTCGCAATTTTGTGAAAGAACTGGACACGATCCGAAGCTTTGTACTACTAAACGCAATAACAGTGTTCTTGATCCGAATTTTTTAAATGCTTGCGGTGGTGCCATCGATGCTAAAGAAGCATCCATCCCGGTTTCTACTCGGCAAATAACAAAGAAGTTATTTCAAAGTGCAAACCTTAAAAAGAAAATAGCGCCGATGAATGATAAGCAAGCGGATTCGTTACGAAATAGCATAGAGGTTTTGGATGTTCAATCTACGAATAGTTTAACAAAGGAATTTAGCATTGATAGCAAATTGTCAGAGGAGTCTAACATGTATCCTGAAGAACAAGGTAATTTTGTGATGCTACCCACAAATACCTTAAATCTAGAAGAAGGGCTCAATAAATTTGAAGTTCAAGCAAGAAAGAAATTAGAAGAATTAGGTATAACAGAGCAAATGATTTGTGATGCCATTGAAGCCGGACCGAGAAGTGATATAATTGGTGCTTATCGTGTTATAGTACATAGACTTCAAAAAGAAGAAAGCAAAGATCTTACAGGTGAACCAAATGCTTCTTTATTAGTACCAAGAAGACCTAGAAAAATATCAAAAGCTTGTATTCTTCTTTGACAAGAGCAATTTTCAAAATTAATGCTTTTAGAAGTATTGTTTTTTTGAAACATGATCTTGTATGGGTTTTTATTTTTTGGTATGAAATTTAATGTAATCGATTTTTCTATGTGTTATCATAAATCCATCAAAGGATATCTCTATGAAATTTTAATTTTAAATAATATTAAATGTGATAAAATGTTATAAATTTATCAATGTTCATATTAGATCCTTAAATATGTTATATTTCTAATCTTGTCAAGGCTAGTCTTCAGTCTGCGGACTGAATAGAATAATTTTTATGTTTTACTGTTTTATGGATCTGATGATTAATTTATGTAAATTTTACGATCAACATGACATGAATTAAATATTTTTTTAAAAAATAAACTCATTCATATTTTTAAGTATATCATGGAAAAGCTGCCATCCCATTTTCATCAATAGTTTCAAACTAATGAAAATTGGTTACCACCGCCATCATTCCAATTTTGTTAATGTTAATTTATATTCATCATTATACATGCATACAAGCACATGAATATAATATGAAACCATCATTTTAACTAAATTGTACAAAATAACTGTACAGAAACTAGAATGAAATATAATACATTTTTATATACATATAAAAAAAATAGTTTATTCTTTTTTTGTTTTAAATAAAATTACATCCTTAAATATATATTACATATATATAGATATATAATCTACGATGAAGAAAAAGTCAACTTTATACTATGGATATGGTTACAGTTTTTATACAAAATGTGTCGACATACTTTTTCTACACATACTTGAATACAAACTAACTTTAGTCTGATGATTCATCATAACTAGGGCTTGCTGGACTATAAGAAGGACTTGTTGGACTGTAACCGGGTGTATTTGTAAATGACGGCGAAGATGGAGAGTACGTAGGACTGGTACGGGTATATGTTGGGCTTGTTGGTGAATACTTGCTATTAGGCGAGTACTGTAGAGATCCAGGTGAATAACTAGGACTAGTTGGCGAATAATTTGGTGAACTAGGCGAATACCTTGTGCTAGAACCTGGAGTATGTTGTGGAGAACTAGGGGAATAATTTGAACTAGTAGGTGAGTAACTGGGACTGGTAGGTGAATAAGAGGGAGTTGTTGGTGTATATTGCGGACTTCCACTAACAAATGATGGAGACGTTGGAGAATAATTAGGAGTGGTGGGAGAATATTTTGGTGAACTTGGTGAATAACTATGGCTGCCTGGCGAATACCTAGGAGAACTTGGGGAATAACTGGGATTTGTCGGTGAATAGTTAGGTGATGCTGGTGTATAATTTGGTGAGGATGAGGAATAATTGGGGCTTGTTGGAGAATATGCAGCCGGAGATGTTGGGGAATATGTGGGAGAAGTTGGAGAGTATGATGGAGATGCTGATGGATAACTGGGACTTGTAGGTGAATAACTGGGACTTGTTGGCGAATAGCTAGGGCTTGTGGGTGAATAACTTGCACTTGCTGGAGAATAGTTAGGACTTGTTGGTGAATATACTGGAGATGTAGGGGAGTAACTAGGACTAGTAGGACTGTATGAAGGGGAAGTGGGACTGTAAGATGGACTAGTTGGTGAATAGCTGGGGCTAGTATGTGAATAATTTGGACTTGTAGGAGAATAATTTGGACTTGTGGGTGAATAGTTTGGTGAAGTTGGAGAGTACGATGGACTGGCTGGTGAATACATTGGAGAAGTAGGTGTCATATTCGGCGAGGTGGGTGCATATGCTGGACTGTTTGGTGAATAAGGTGGAGATGCCGATGGTGATGCAAAGTATGGAGACATTGAAGGTCCTGGAGAACTAGGTGATCCAGGTTGCCAGCCAGGAGAAAGACCAGAAGCATCTGAAGCTCCAGATGGCGAAAATGATGGCCCACCTGGTGTCATCATGGAATCTAAAATGATATTCATCAGTTAAAAGAATTCCTAAAAAAATAATTTAATTCACACACAAACGTATAAGAAAAATTACTTATTATTGTACATTGGAAGATGTTTAAGATGAGAAATATCTTAAGAACACTGCAGAGATAATATTTGTCTTAACTTCAATCTCAGATGTTATGTTAAAATAATGAATATAATTTTCAACTAGTCAAAAAACTTACATTGATTTGGTGACCAAGCACTAGCTCCATGGGCTGGCGTAGCTCCCTGACTCCATGGTGTCATTCTAGGACTTGCACTAGGAGTGGTAGCAATACCAAAGAAGCCAATGTCACCAACAACGCCGCCAAGAGTATTTGCAATGTCAATACCATCTTTACACTTATCAGCATCCAATAATAAATCAAAGCATCCTATTAAAAGTAACATATATGAAGTCAATATTATGGCAAATATTTTGAACAAGAATAACAGCAATAGATATATTAATATCAACAAACCTGTTCCCATCCTGGGCAGTTGTCCCATAATAATGTTCTCAGACACTCCTCTCATTGGATCTACTTCAGCATGTGAAGCTGCATCCATCAATACATCAACAGTTTCTTCAAAGGAACATCTCATTAAAGCTCCAGTGTCTTGTCTGTTAATACCATGACGAGTGATAGCCATCAAGTGACCTTTGGCAGTCATAACATCACAAAGTAAAGCTAAATGTCGATAGTTTACATAAAGACCATAAAATTGCAATACAGTATTCATTTCCTTCTCTACAGACTTTCTCACAGCTTCTATTCCCAGCACCTAAAATTTATTTAGGACATTTAGAGCGATTACTCTCATTTTATAGTATTTTATATAAAAATATAGTAATAAAATATATGCAGATTATTAATTCCCACAACTTACCGAGAAAATTTCACAAATATCATTACTGAAGGTCCTGACTGGATCAACATCTCTCTCACTTAAAACTTTCATCATTGACGTTCCATCTGTTTCCAATAGCCATTCAGCAATTGCTTTGAATTCACCAGTCTCAGTAATTATAATTCGTTTTTTACTATCCGTCTGAGGTAAATGCATATATACCTTTCCAATAGCCTCAATGCCCTGTATAACAAAAATTATTTATAAATATTTCCTGTACAGCTATGTTCAAAATAATATGACATACCTGTAATGTCATGTCAGATAACATATTGGCTTCAATACATCTCAAAAACATATCATCTTCCATTTTATCAACATTTTCCTCTTCATCTTGGAATTTATTATCATCACTATTCATAATTCGAATTCGCAGTACTAGTTTTTCAGCATTGTCATCATTAAATATACAGTTCAAGTCATCTCCAAAGCCTGCATTAATTTTTTCAGCAATCTGTTCCATGGTCAGTTTTTTATCTGTCATACGTTTCCTATCTAATTCAATACGTAACAACCATGGTGAAATCTTTGTTGGATCAAAATCAGGCATTTCATAATAGATATTAACAAACTCTTGATCCTCTGATATCACAGTGTTTTGTGGATCGGGATCATAATAGATAGCTGTATTTGCAGTTACTTTTCTTAACGTAGTATGCTCCAATCTGCAAAGTACATTTTTAGCCTTTTCCGCATCCCTGGCTGCACCCCCAGTTAAAAATACAGTCAGTGAAGGAGCTTTAGGTTTTTTGGAAATATTGATAATTTCCTTCAATCTAGGTACACCCAAAGTTACGTTCTTTGATGATACACCAGCAAAATGGAAAGTATTCAGTGTCATTTGAGTAGCTGGTTCTCCTAAAGACTGAGCAGCTAAGGCACCAACCATTTCTCCAGGATTACATTGAGCTTGCTGAAAACGTGTTTCTATTTCTCCAATTAGAAGATTAAAAGCATCAGTTGATAACCTAAATTCTTCTGATACATATTTAGTGCACAATGTAGAACGTATAAGACACTGAAATAGTAGAGTGGCGTTTTCATTAGCCTGTTTCGACAACCTGTCGTTACCAGCTACAATAACACACTTTGTAAGTAAATCTTTTACTCCTTGAATAACTTTAATTGGACTCAAGTCAGTAGGCATTCGTTTATTTATATGGAAGATTTTTTGCACATTCCAAATCATACGCTGTAGATTACAAGGCAGTACTACCTTAGATTCTCCATTGCTAAAAATAGATCTTAAAGCTTCACGATCCCTATTTAACTGCTCCCATTCACTTTCCAGCTCGGAAATAACATAGCCTGATTCTGTTAGTTCCTTTACAACATCTTCATTAAATATCTTCCGGAGATATCTTTCATTTGATAATTCAAACTTGAACTTCTTCTCAAATACTTTATTGGATAACTTGATGGTGGGAAGGTTTTGGAACTCCACTGCTTCACCACACAAACCATCCTCGCCATACCTTAACTGAATAAGTTGTCCAACTGAGTTACGAACTGTTCCATCATAATGTACCATAACAGACTCCATAGCCTTTATCAACGACGTTGGATGTATCCTGTTTCTGCAGTTTTTACAGCAGTATCAATAAGACCTTCTCTTCCACCCATAGCATGGAAATAAAATTCTGAAGGTGTCAAGCCAGCAAGATATGAGTTTTCTACGAAACCTCTAGATTCAGGACCGTAATCATCCTTAATGAAATGAGGCAAGGTCCGCTTACGAAATCCAAATGGAATACGCTTACCTTCTACATTCTGTTGACCTACACAAGCAATAACTTGAGAAATGTTAATATTGGAACCTTTGGAACCTGACACCACCATAGCTTTTAGATTATTATATTCGGTAAGAGATTTCTTTGCAGATCCTCCAGTTTTATCACGAGCATCATTTAGAATTCTGTTTACTTGATTCTCAAAAGTCTGCCTCAGGGTATTACCTGGAGTAGGTTCTAGCTCCATGTTGTGAGCTTTCTGGATAACTTCTATGACATCTTCTTTGGCTTTTTTAATAGCACGCTGGATCTCCATATAGGTTTGAGGATCAGCAATAGTATCACCAATACCAATACTATGACCTTCTAACAAAAGCCAATTGTTTACCACCGTTTGAATGTTTCCATAAAATCTACCTGCTGTCTCATGTCCCAACTCCAGAAAAACAATATGGAGCAAGGAACCTGCCGAAGCACCCAAGGTTCTTTTACACAAGATTCCCATAATCAATTGTCCATGTTCTACCATTACTTTTGTATCACCAGGAGAAATCCATTTATATGGTCCATCATCTTCTTCATCAGGATGGGTTGAATGTGTGCGGATCATGTTTACATTACCAGGAATGATAAGTGTAAAGATTTGTTTACCAGTCCATAATGGTTTTGGTTTTAATATGCAAGGTTGTGGCATTTTACCATCCCAAGTGGGTAAGAACATAAGTATGTTCATCATCTGCTCCTTTTCGATGAATACATCACGTTTTGTCATTTTTCTAACTGCAGTTAAAGTATCCTGTACAATACCCATAACAGGCTTATTTGCTTGTGGTGTAATAATTTGTCGAGGTGTAATATGAATATTTTCTACTTCAGCTCGTGTTTCCATGGATTGCGGAACATGCAAGTTCATTTCATCACCATCAAAATCAGCATTGTATGGAGATGTACAACTATAATGGAATCATAATTTTCTTACTGTATTACCGAAATTTAAATACTCATAACAAATCAATTCATTACCTTAAATTCATACGGAATGTAGACCATGGCAGGACTTTTACCCTGTGACCCATCATACTCATTTTGTGCAAAGTGGGCTGCCGATTGAAAATCACTAAATCATCATCTCTTAAATGCCTTTCAACTTTGTATCCGCATTGAAGATGCAAATCAGAAGGTTTGGGATGAAAGCGTAAGTCAATACGTTCCCCATTGTCACGAACTATATATTTTGCACCAGGATATTGTGAATTACCTCTACGTACAAGTTCTTGCATTCTGTAGAGAAAAATACATACTGCTTAAAATATTCAAAACCTACATTATAGAATTATAAAATAATTTTTTGAATAATATTGCTTAGTTTGAAAGCATTTTATTCTATCATCTTATTATGTATGTTGATATGATTATTTACCAAAAATAACTCTGATACAGATAACATGCCATTATTACTAATAGATCATATCTATAATTTTAAAACATTTGCAAATATAACAGGTACAAACCTTTCTATGTTAAAGGGTGTTACTAATTCTGGAAAAGTCATATTTTGTGCAATAGATCTAGGAACTCCTACTTGATCTATTCTTAAATTGGGATCTGGTGTAATGACAGTACGTGCTGAAAAGTCTACACGCTTTCCCATAAGATTTCCTCTAATACGACCTTCTTTGCCTTTTAATCTTGCTTTGACAGCTTTCAATGGCTTTCCAGACTTCTGCATTGCTCTATATAAGAAATATATTATTATTGATAATTTAATTTAACATTATAATATTATTCTTGATTGTTTATATTACGAACCTAGGCATTCCAGGCATGTCATTATCAACAAAAGTTGCAACATGAAATTGTAACATTTTAATATTCTCAGTAATAACATGAGCCGCAGCTCCAGATGCCTCATTTCTCATTAATTCATTATTAGCTTTAATGATATCAGACAATTTGTGTGTCAAATCATCTTGATTCTTAGCAGCACCAAACATGACAACAGCTGGCCTAACAGCTAAAGGTGGTACAGGCATAACAGTAATTATCATCCAATCTGGTCTTGCAAATTTTGGATCCATACCCAGAACAAAACATTCTTCATCTGAAATTAGGAGCAAATTGTTGATTATAATTAACTGTGCAATTTGATGGTTACTGTTTTCAAAATATTACATATACAGCTTTTGTTTGTGCTAACTACTTTACTATATGAGGTTTCTTCTTTTCACCTGTTATATGTTTTAAGATCTCCCACACTCTTTCTGCACTGACAAATATTTTCTTTTCTTGTGATTCATCATTTACATGTTTCCACTCTGCTGTAATATCCAATCCTGTCCTTCTTAATGAGGGTTGATAATGACCGCAACCACCATGTCCAGCCTTTTTATCTATGCAAAAATTATTTATTGCAAGTTATTTCATGGTAGTTATTTCATAACATAAATGCAACAAAATAATCATTTAAACTCACTTGGATCTGCTGGAGCACCTTCTTTAGTCAAATCCATGTCTTCACCACCTTCGCATATTTTTTTGCCTTTACATAAATCATACACATAAGCTAGTCTTTTACGAGGCTGTCCCTTAGACTTTGAAACTACTTCTTTAATTTTTGGATTTTGCTATAAATTATGTAATAATGGAAATGAAGATAAAAAACATAATGAGAAAAATAATGTATGATAGAAACACTTACAGGACTCACTAACATCTTTGAGCAATAAAAACAAACACATCGCAGAATTTTCAGTGTCTTTGTTACAAACCCAATATGAAACACAGGTTTAGCAAGATCTATATGCCCAAAATGTCCTGGGCATTCTGTCATGTTGCCAGCGCAAGTCTACAAAAGAAAAGTTATTGAATACTTTCCAGGCATAACATGGACATGTCTATTTGATTGAAAATTATACTTGGCATCGTGAATTTCTGTCGATAACCCCCTGTCTTGGATCCATCAAACCGCCCAGTTTAGGTCTACCACCTTCCATAGTCTCGGAAAACCGAATACCACCCTCGGTAACAGACATCCTTCTCTGTAGAAATAGTATTTTAACATCGTCAATTATATGAATATTATAATGCGTTTATAGAAAAATTTATTTTGTCATATTATTTCAACACATCTAAGCAGTAAGTTATGTTATAATGTCTTACAATTTCGTCTGGGGCTAATATCCCAAACTGAACCTTTTTAACAGTTCGCAAGGGAGCCTTGGAATCGCTCGCAGCCATTGCGGATTCTTATTTGTCTCTACGAAAAAACAATCACTGCACAGGCACAATAATTATATTGATAAAATAAACTAAATTTGCGACCGCACTAGCATCGCATAATATTTTAAAAAGTGCTACATATCGCACAATTAATGTTTATAAAAAATCAACAACATACGGCGCAGAAGCTGGCATTTCACTCTACGACTCTACCATTATGAAGTTCGAAGTTTATTGTGTTGTCTAGTATGAAGTTGTATTATCATCCAGAGTTGCCAACTATACAGATTTAAATGCTCAAGTTTTTTTTGCTCAAGATGCCAGCGCCCATAGATAAAAGAGTAGCTTCGCGCCATTATTTTCTATGTAGAACCATAGATAAAAGAAAAATATACAAGAAGAGTGTATATCTCTTGGCGATTGATAATATCACTAGCGTGGCAACCCTGTCTTTAAGCTCTTTCAGCTTCAGGTTAAATGTTAGATGTATGACATCTGCCAAAATTTGGTTAATATTTAATATATTAAAAACGCTGTAAAATGATATCGTCTTCACTTAGAAAAATTATACCTAAAAGATATTTTGGACAGGTTGACCATATTTTATTCTAATTAAATGTACTAACGAGTATTATTTTATTTAGCTTAAGTATTCTTGTTTTTAGGTTAGATTTACCTCCGACAAAAAGCAAGAATTACCTAATAATCCATTAAAAGAAATATATAGTGCTAGTTTTCAACCAGATAATGGCTCTATATATGACAAGAAACCTTTCAAAATGTATCTCGAAGAGGGTATTCAAATTTATTTTCATACAATTTATTATACAGCTATTAATATTTATATATATTAAACTCAATGTTTTTAGGCAAAAAGTACGGTTGGTGTCTTTGTGGAAAGTCGAAGACTCAACCTATGTGTGATGGAACTCATAAAAACATATTTTTGAAAATTAAAATTAGGTAAGTCTAGTTCTTGCTTTTATTGGAATTGATTTTTATGGAAATTGGCCGTCTTTTACTTAATGTTTTGTTTCTGTATTAATGACCCATTCATTGGAACATTTTTTTTCTATTTAATTGAAAAAGATATGGAAATGGCGCGTTTTCACTTCTTCTGTGCTATTTATTATAGCAACTACAATGAATCATCATAGGCCATATTACATTTTTGAGTAATTCGAGTTGGCTGTAATTTTTAATGAGTGTCAGTGAAGTATTGTAAAATGTGAATGTTACTACAAAATAAAAGTTGTAAGAGATATTTGAAAAAAAAATATGTGTGAAAATAGAAAAGATTAAAAAAATGGATAGATAATATGATGTCACTATGAAAAGCAAGCGGAATGCTTTATAGGCTTGAATAATTCAATATAAGCTTTTACAGGCCTGTACACTTTAAAGTAGAGAAATCTGGAGACTATTGGCTGTGTAATTGTAAACAAACAGGTAATAGGCCATTCTGTGATGGAACTCATAAAGAAGCCAGAATTCAAGAAGCTATTAAGTGAATGTTGTATAAATTATGTGTACATATATTTCAATGTAATTTTTCATTATTAGTTTATAATATAGTTATAATAAATATAGAAGTATAAAATAGGAAAAGTTTTGTTAATTATTAATTATTATCCTTATATTAACTTATTGTATGGAACATGAATTTTCATTGTACTAATACCCAGTTTTTTTTTTTTTTTTATGAAAGACATAACAAATCAGCTAAATATTAGCTGAAGAAAATTCACGGTCTAAATTGTGTTTACTGCACTTCTGAAATTACATCAGTGCAATATTTATACTGATACTGACTAAATTATTTCACTAAATTTTAATGTGACAACAAATTTTATGAAGATCTTAAATTAAATGTGTATTTAAATCCAGAGAAAAAAATCTCATTAAAAGTAGAAAAATTCAAGTGATATGTTTTTATTATGATGCCATTTAACTAAATAATTCACCGAAACTTTGATTTATTTATTTAAATTAAAATGCAACGTAAACTAATATTTAGAGATTGAATACATTCAACATAATATTTCTATGTTAAAAATATTGTACTTTAACATTGTATATTGAAAGAATCATTTTGACTAAATATAGGAGAAGAGCGCATGTGCTATCCCGCGTGCCGAGTGTGCGCGGTCCCCGCAATATCGAGCGTGCCTGGTCGCTGCCAGAAGTCCATCAGCGCCACCAGATCCAGTCTTTAGTGGACCGCGACTCGCGCATGAACTTTCTTCTCTTCACGCTCGGTTTATCACCCAACGGAACCTAACTCTGAACGGACGTCTAGTCTCTCAGAGTCCAGCAGCGTGTATCGTCGTGATTCACGTATCAAAATATTCTGTAAAAATGCTGACAAAAAAATAATACGCAACGAATAAAATATTCAAAAACCGACAGATAGGCAGTGATTATCGCTGCCATGCAAGGCGAAAGGCCGGCACGCGCGGGCTTTTGTCCGACGGCGCAATGACGAGAAGACGCGGTGCCGGTCGCACATCGTTGGTGACCGTTGCGGTCGCCATAGCCTGTTGCCAGTTCCTCTTGCGGCAGCAGGACAGCTCGGTCACCACCGTGAGTTGTATGCAATTGCACGAACCGCCGCCAGACTATGCGGACTACGACAATGACTCAAACGGAACATCCGGTGGTAACGGTCATCGAAAATCCGGCAACGGAAGCGACGCAGCTGAAGAAAATCAGCCGCTCTTTCCGCAGGATCTTTTTACCTTGGAGCAGCGGCGCAATGGAGCCGTCGTATTCCACATCTTAGGCGTCATATATATGTTTGTAGCACTTGCTATTGTGTGCGACGAATTCTTTGTGCCAGCATTGGATGTGATTATTGAGAAGTTGGCAATACAAGATGATGTTGCCGGTGCCACTTTCATGGCCGCAGGCGGAAGTGCTCCCGAATTATTCACAAGCGTAATTGGAGTCTTTGTGTCTTTTGATGATGTCGGGATCGGCACTATTGTTGGTTCCGCTGTATTTAACATCTTATTTGTGATAGGGATGTGTGCTCTGTTTTCTCGCACAGTGTTGACTCTTACTTGGTGGCCCTTGTTCCGAGACTGTACCTTCTATTCAGCGAGCCTTCTTACGCTGATTTATTTCTTCCAAGACAATAATATATATTGGTATGAAGCACTAGTTCTGTTCTGTTTTTATGTCGCGTATGTCAGTTTCATGAAATGGAATCAACCCGTCGAACGGTTTGTCAAAAAAATCATTTATAAGAATAAAGTGACAAGAGTACGCAGCACAGACCAGTTGATGCCAACGGTAAGCAATTTATAAAGAGTATATGGTTGTTTGGAGTATGCTTCCTTTACCCACTAACAATCCTGCAAATCCTATAGTCATACAGTGACCCGATAAAACCACACGTTCAATGTTCTAATTCCAAATTATGTATATTATTATGCGATATATAAAGGTTTAAAGAGGTAGGTGTTAAGCGTTCTGCATGTTCGGCCGGGTTATTCATTAAATTGTATTTGTATCAATTAGTGTTGTGTTTTTGTATATGTTTATATGTCATATATACCTCGATATTTCTGCGTGATATATATAATATATATATATATATATATATATTATATAATTTTAATGATATAATATTTTTATGTATTTAAAAAAAAATAATAATAAGATATGCATAAGGAAATACACATGTTTTAATAGAAACATATTTTAGCTATCGAAATAACGTTATTATGTTTGAATATTAAAAAAATATTTCAAGTTTTATTTTCAAGAACATAAAATAATTATTCAAATTATATAAGTTATTGATTCATTCAAGAATAATAAAATTCTTAATAAATTCTGATTCATTTACGCGCTTTTTCTACATGAATTATAATAGAATTTTTAATCACGAAAAAGGACTGATAAACAATTTATCTTTACAAACAACAGTTATAAACGTAATACCAATTATAGGGTGTTGCGTTAACAGAAAAATTAATATATTACATTAAAGAATATAATATCTTCACAATTAGAAGACTTGCAATGTGGTTCAAAAAGTACATTATTTCAAAATTTAATATTTTTTATATACATTGAATTTGACATATATATCCAATTAATGCTTGTAATTTTAAAAATTATTAGATTGCATTCCATCAAATCAACCCTAATAACCTTTTGGTATTTATATTGTTGGTATATTTGCATGATTCCTTGATTCAATTCGACTTTTGTCTAATATTTATATAAAATGTTCAGATGACAAACATTAACTTTTTTAATCATTGCTGCTGCTGTATATGACGAATATTAATATAATTCTAGTACTTCGCAGATTTTATTATATCTATAAAAATACATCAACTTATACATTACCTCAATTTATTACCCGTAAACAAATAATATGATACATGAAACATGTGGTACTATGAACAACATTGAAGTTTACTATATCTAATTTTTGTTGATTATATACTTTTTTTTGGATCTCTGTGACAAAATTCAAATTCGGCCCTGTACGAGGCGTTAGATTAAGCAAACAATACGAAATAACGAATTAGGAAGGGCGATTACTTCGACGTCAACAAATAAAATGAGCGGGTGCGCAGGGCATGTGCCGCATGGTCGATAAATTCTTTGCGGCGCCCGTGGTGTAGATGATACACATTCCAATTCGGGATTTTGAAATTGCATTTCAAAATAAATAAATATGCCTATACCTAAAGATATTCAAGATTCTAATCATTTTAGAACTTCAATCCGTGTTCAACATCCTAATATTTTAACATATTTTAATTTAATTTAATTATGATATATCCAGGCCCCTATCTATTTTCGTAATGTCAAATAGTTTATTTGAATGTCATAAATCACTAATGTGGTTATAACCTTTATACACATGTCCTGCTTGTTCCCATCAATCTGAACAACATTGTCTTATATAAAATCAAGTTAAAGGTCAATTATAAATTCAATATATATTAGTCGATAATGCATTGGGTTCAATTTATCTTATGCATACCGACAATAATAAGCTATTATTATGATGCAATGAAAATTGTGATAAAATGAGCACTCAATTACTGACCTCAGAGGTACTTGAAAAATACATGGGTTGTTTTTGAAGATATAGACATCGAACAAATATAACAACCATAAAACAACGAAGTCATCAACGTTGCCATGTGTGAATATTATATTAGAAGTTGGTTTTGCAATAAGTGGAAGCAAACTTTATAAAGTACATTGATTCCTTCAAATTATCATTCACTAAGATTTTGAAAAAAATTGTACTAATTAAGTTGTATTCTTATAACTTAATTTTATAACTACGTCAGAAGTACATGAAATTTCTTTTATTGGGATTTTATTGATAACTGCAATAAGGATTTATGCAAAACCGAGGGTTTCAGGCATTATATAATTTTCATAGAATGAAATTCTTTAAAATTTATGAATTTTGTAATTTGAGGTTTTATTAATATCGTCCTGCAAATTGCAACCGACACAGCAAATATATATAAATATATATTATATATATATATATATTTAATATATATATATATATATATAAATTTACTATTAATGACCTGGAAAATATATAACAGCTCCAAGGTGTATGTGTCCATTTGCTAAACTATTTGCTTGTAACAGATGCGCTCTTTAGATTACCCTTATCATAGTTTATAATGACACAAAAGCCTTTCAAGTTGCACATTAAATTAAGCATTGCAGAATTTTTGTAAATAATGTTATTAAAATACATGTATCGACATGATCCACCTCCTTTCAGTGTCCCGTTATCACTTCCTATGAATGAAAAGCGAATTTGTCATGTATTTGGTGTGCTTTTCGTGCGGACATTTCTCGCAAAAGTGATGTTTAATTTATCCTATTATTGTCAATATTTAAAAAAATATACAGTGAACTTATTGAAACAAACTTCATTTTTTAGTTCTTGCAACTTATTTTACTATTATAAATTTTTTTATAAATATTTGTAAATGAATTGGTGAGGCAAGATGTTTTCCAAAATTTTTATGTCAATTCAAAATTAATTGAAATAATATCAATTATGATATTCTTTTAATTCAGCTAGATTTTGTGAAGCATTTTTCCTCGTATTTTAAATATTTAAAAAATGGAACAGACATTTATAATTGTATTATGAAATTGGCAGAATTACGACTAGATCGGAATTTTCCATGTTTGTATAATTTGTATTATTTCATTTCTTAAATTTCGGAAGTTTAGTTTCTTATCAAAAGATATTAACAATTATATTAAAAAGGCACTATTTAAGTTATTATTCTCGAATCAGAGTTATTAGTTGTGTTTGTATTTCAAAGATTGTCCTAGACAAAATCTGTATAGAAACGGTCACCAGAGGTCTTAAGCCCCTTGTCACGTGCTAAATCCTGTATCTATGTTTAATTTCAATAGAGAAATGTCCGCACCTAAATCCATTTTAGTCTAGTGTTACGAATTGTGACTAAATGACGCTTTTTGTTGTTTTGCAGCCCCATGCCGCAGCCCAAGCCCTGGTGAGTGTGCTATCCGTACATTGTATTGCCTATTTCTTATTACTGTCACTCGCTTTCTGTCTCCTAATATTTTCTATGTCTATGATTTTTGCAATAATTCTACGTCTATTTTTTGCCAACGGGTACACAGTCTGAAAACTGGCAATAGTGTCTTGAAAATATAATATACTTATATTTGATTGACATTCTATTGACTCGTTTCAGAAAATAAGCATCTTTCAGAAAGAAGTTATTTAATTTTATTTACTGCGTGATTTTTGAAGTGGTAAATAAATATTTTTATTGATGTCTTTTTACTATTCATCTGTATTGTATTTTTACACAAACTTAATGGTTTATGTCTAATCGCATAATTAAGCACTATTCGTGTTTAATGATTGATACTTTCTTAATTAATGTATTTAGTTTATGGTTATGAAATTTTTACAGTTTCTGAACTACTATTTATAATAAAAATTATTCTAAAGTATTGATACTAAAACTTTTAAGTTCATTGCATCATGTGCTTTTTCTTGATGGTAATTATTATTTAAGCCGAAACGGGGCGATAGTATTGACCTTAACTGTCCTGACAAAATTTAGAAAAAAAAAATTCACTTTATTTGGAATTTATGAGCTTTTAAGTGCAACCTAGAGCTTGTTGAAATTTGACCATAATTCGTTATTGTGATAAACTTCTGTAAATTGTTCATTTAAACTTTGAAACCGTAACCGTGAGTAACATTTACAAGAACATAGAACCATGAATTTCATTTTTTCAAAATCCTTATAAAAACCTATTAAAGTGTGTGAACAAAAGTCTCAACTCTCGATAACTTGGGGCATTTGTGGTATGTTTTTACTGTGTTTATAAAAATGTTACTCACGGTTATGGTTTCAAAGTTTAAATGAACAAAATTAACAAAAGTTAATCCCAATAACCAATAAATGGTCATATCGGCGATAGTATTGACCTTAACTGTCCTGACAAAATTTAGAAAAAAAAAATTCACTTTATTTGGAATTTATGAGCTTTTAAGTGCAACCTAGAGCTTGTTGAAATTATGACCATAATTCGGTTATTGTGATTAACTTCTGTAAATTTGTTCATTTAAACTTTGAAACCGTAACCGTGAGTAACATTTACAAGAACATAGTAAAAAAAACAGCACCGTTGCCACCAGTTTCCAAGAATTAAGACTTTTTATTGAACCATGAATTTCATTTTTTCAAAATCCTTTATAAAAACCTATTAAAGTGTGTGAACAAAAGTCTCAACTCTCGATAACTTGGGGCATTTGTGGTATGTTTTTACTGTGTTTATAAAAATGTTACTCACGGTTATGGTTTCAAAGTTTAAATGAACAAAATTAACAAAAGTTAATCCCAATAACCAATAAATGGTCATATCTTCACGAAAGTTCTAGGTTGTACATAAAAGCTCATAATTTTAAAATAACGTGAAGACTTTTCTTCTGAAAATTTTCAGAACAGTAAGGTCAATATTATCACCCCGTTTCGGCTTGATGTCAAGGTCTGGGACATCTTGTATGAAATCAAAGTACGTTCGTAAATTTTTTTATTTATTGATTCACAATTATTTTTTTTCTATGCTAATTATTGCGTTATTATGAATACAGTACAATTACTAAAATAAGATCAAAAAATTTTTTTAGCTTCGTGGTGAATTATTATGTATGATTCATAAAAATTCGCTAACAATATTAAATAGTGAAAGTTTAATAATAAAGTTTAAATTTAAAGACTGTGTGCCCTTGGTGATAA